GGTGAAATTCGAGTCTCGAATTTCACCGAATCGAATTCTCCCTGAGTCTCGATTCTTCTTGTGCTGCCATGTGGCACCGAAATGCAAGTCTCTCGAAGTCAACCTGCACCTTCTCGAGACCTGCAGTGAACACATTCGGAAGCAACACATTCGGTGGGTTGGGGGCATATCAATCGCCCCACCACCACCTTGCTTCCAACACACGCCACCTCCAACACTCCCCCTTGCACCCAACCCACTAGGTGTGCAAACCAACACGCTCACAGCATGCACGGAATGAATCCTTAGGGAGTGGTTTAGTGAGGAAGTCCGCGGGTTGAGCTTTGGTGCTCACATAAGTGAGTTTGACCTCACCCTTCTCAACCGCCTCACGAATGAAGTGATGTTTCATTTCGATATGCTTGGTTCGCCCGTGAAGGACGGCATTGTGAGAGAGGCTTATGGCGGCTTGGTTGTCACAAAAGAGAGGAGTTGGGTTGGGTTGAGGATGCCCAAGCTCCGCTAGAAGACGCCGTAACCATATTGCCTCCATGGCACCTTGAGTGAGTGCCATATACTCCGCTTCCGTTGAGCTTAGAGCCACGGTTGGTTGCTTCTTGCTTTGCCAACTCACGGCTGCCCCAAGCAAGGTGAAGACATACCCGGAGGTACTTTTGCGCGTGCTCGGATCTCCCGCGTAGTCCGAGTCGGCATAGCCCTTGAGTTAAATCGGGCCGGCTTCATACACGAGCCCCAAGTTAGGTGTGCCTTGAAGGTAGCGTAGAACGCGTCCTCCCGCGCGCATATGCTCGGTATGAGGGTTGCTCACGACTCGTCCAAGCACCCCGGCGGCGTATGCGAGGTCGGGGCGAGTAGAAACGGCGGCATACATGAGCGAGCCCACTAGCGAATGAAACCGCTTCACTTCGTCGTTGCAAACTTCGAGCGCCCACTCTTGTATTGCCTTGGCCGCTTCGCCCTTAGCCTTCAAGAGTCGGGTCCAACACATCCGCGTCGCGTCGTCGAGCATCACCAAGAGAAACCGCGCTCCTCCCTTTGATGCATGTCGCATCGGTCCACACACGTCCATGTGAACAAGCGCAAGCGGGTCCTTAGCGAGGGGTGACGTTCGGCTACCAAATGGCTTCCGAGCCATTTTTCCTTCGACACACGCCGCGCACACGCCCGTCTCGTCATCGCCGGCAACCACGTCGACTCCCTTCGCAAGTCCTTTGTTTGCCAACTCCTTGACCGAGTCGTAATTGGCGTGCGCAAGACGATTATGCCACGCCTTGAGAGTCGCCTTGGAACCTTGCGCCACGTTGGATGAAGCCGCTCCCGGGTGCGTCTTGAGTTGGTAGAGTTCTCCGTTGAGAACGCCTTGTGCGAATTGCTTCCCCTTCCAAAAGAGGTTCATGTTCGCGCCATCGATTGTCAACTTCACGTCCTTCTTCGCGAGTTGAGTGACGGAGAGTAGATTCACCTTCAATCCCGGGACGTGAAGCACGTTCGTGATGTCAACCGGTCCGCCATCAACGATGAGACGCGTACTCCCAACTCCAACCACCGGTAGCGACTTGTTGTTTCCGAAGACGACGCGTTTAACGTCCCCCGGTGCGCCAACGTTGGTGAGGAACGATGCCGAGTGCGTCATGTGTTGTGTTGCGCCGGTGTCGAGGAACCACGCGTCACTTGGAGTGTTGGTCCCGTCACCGGCCAATAACACGATCGACTCCCTTGTATCATCCGTCTCGCCGGATGCCGTGTGCGCGTTGCCCTCGTGGTTCCGCGCCTTCGATGGAGTCCAATCGCTCGGCCGCTTCCGACACTCTCGCCAAAAGTGTCCCGATTTGCCGCAATAGTGGCACTTGCTCATGCCGCTCGATGCATTTCCCTTGCCGCGATCGCTTCCTCCGGACGACTTCTTTGTCGCACCTTTGCTCCACGTGGACTTCTTTCCGGAACTCCCTCCGGAGAACATGGCGGCACCCTCGCTCTCATTAGCGAATTGTCGGCGACGCGATTCTTCATGAAGAAGCCGACCGACCACCATTTCCTTCGTCCAAGTGTCTTGCACGCTATCGAGTGTCGTAATCACCGTCGACCACTCTTCCGGAAGGCCCATAGCAATGTCAAAATCCATTCCTCCTCCGTGACCGTTCCACCGAGGTCCATGAACGTTTCCCCGAGTTCCTCCACACGAGTCGCATACTCGTGCATCGATTCGCCCGCGCGCATCTTCACCGTGTAGAATGCATTCCGGGCTAGGATCTTGCCGTGGAGAGTCTTGTTCACGTGGATGGTCTCGAGTCGCTTCCACGCTTCATGTGCCGACGCTTCGAGCTTGATGCACATGCGCACCGAGCTCACGAGATTGATGCCGATGCGCGAAATCAACGTAGCGAACGCCTTTTGGTCCTTCTTCTTCCATGCCGCGATGTCGCTCTCATCGTCCGGCTTCTTCTCCGTTCCATCGAAGAAACCCCAAAGTCCCCGCTCCATCATGAGCACTTGGAACTTAAACTTCCACGCGGAGTAATTTTGTCCCGTGAAAATCGGTACCGCCGACGTGTCGAACATCGTCGCGGTTGCCCAGGGTTCGCCGGAATTTACAACGACACCATCCAAGGAAGTGCGGGAGGTCTCGCTTGAAGTCGGCATGCTTGCTCCTTGTCGTGCACGTAGACTCCTCCGACCAGCTCTGATACCACTGTTGTAGAGTACTCTCCTCTACTATTCAGGAACTGGGAATTTTTCTAATCAGTAGAGCACTCTGTTAGCTTTCCAACGAGCCGTAGATCTCCTCGATCACCTAAGTATCGAGCGAGATATGACTACTAACGTGAAAGCTATGCTCTATGTTGAAGGATTGGAAACTCTCTGGAATTTGTTGTCGAATGCACTGTGTACAAAGTGATTCACGTTTTCCAGTATTAAGCATGCAATACAAAGCAAACAGATTTATAGCATGCAACAAACATCGAGTCGCACAAGTAACATCGAACCGCGGTACACTCGAATGTTCGAGTAACATTTCGAAGGGGTGAAATTCGAGCCTCGAATTTCACCGAATCGAATTCTCCCTGAGTCTCGATTCTTCTTGTGCTGCCATGTGGCACCGAAATGCAAGTCTCTCGAAGTCAACCTGCACCTTCTCGAGACCTGCAGTGAACACATTCGGAAGCAACACATTCGGTGGGTTGGGGGCATATCAATCGCCCCACCACCACCTTGCTTCCAACACACGCCACCTCCAACACGGGAAGCATGGTGTTTCCCTATTGGCCGACATCTTTCCTCCAATACCAGCAAAGGAATGCATTTGCAAACCCGCACTGGCAAAAGTTGAATGCAGTTGGAATTGACAGCAGATCACCGTCCTTGAGGGCTCGAGTGCCCTGCTGGTCGTAACTGGGGAGGGGACTTGGAGCATTTGGTTCCTCCAACCACCGCAATGTCAGGGGTTGTTCTCTGGGCAGTCAGGATGTTTGTGAGTATATTTTTAAATTACAGTACAGTGCTTTTACGCAGGTTCAAGAGGGTCTGGTGCCAGGATATGCATGCAGACTTCCTTGGAAGATCAGTGTTCGGCCAGAAATGAGGGCAAACCGAATCATGGAATCGACAGCTTGCGTCTACGTTTGTGCGTCCCTCCTTGACTACGTTTACCGCTAAATCCAAGCATACGTTCGCACTGTAGTCAGGGCTCCCGATTGTCAGAACATCGAGAAACATAGTGTAAACCAGTCTTTGGTGCAAATTGGTCTCACGTGGCATGCTGATTGGGTAGCAAATAGTTCATGCACCCATCACTGTCGTTGCACAAATCACTCTGATCTGTTCAACACCGAGTGCTGTCTCCAGGCCAATCCATCTGCACATGCAACAAGAGTACACCTTTTTCCCACATTGATCACTCGAGTTTGACGGAGCGTGGGCAGTGTATGGATTGAGTTTCATTGGCTGGCATGAGCTGCATCAGTTGGACATTATAGCGTGTTCGAAGTGAGCATCTGAGTTATGTCGGCGAATGTCAACCCTCGGATCGACAGTTCCAACCGTCCAGATTCACCGACATTCCTCGACATCAAGCTACGTGCAACACTTTGTACACGCCATATTCTCGCGAGACTACATGTTGTACATGATGATTGTGCATGTTCACAGTCCCGACATCATTCTGCTCCCTGTAACGGATGTGACATTGCCCGTGGTGTCGTGACGGAAAATGAGATATTTTGTGGACAAGTGAACAGAAACATTCGCAGCTTGTGCTTTTTCACACGCAGCGGTCGCAAGTGAAAAAAGCAGTACTTCTCTTACGGCCTTGGAGCTAGATCTGAGAAGACATTGTGTCGGGAAAGGAGCAGGTCTGGTTTCCAAGTTGGAAACCAGTCGTGAGCGATTGGTTTTCGACTGCACGCGTTTTCCCGGAGGAAGCGTGTGGTTTGCGTGTATAGTAGCATGTTGCTCTCTAGAAGGATTCGAGTTGTCGAGCAGCTGGCTGCCAAACCTGAAGATTTGGCTTGGATAATTTTGGCGAACTGAATGCAAACAGATGTTTGATCCGCAGTGGGCGCAATATTTTTTCCGATTGGTTGTCGCGTCAGCCATATTGACTCGATAAACACTGTTTCGGTAACTGGAAATTTCGATGTCGAATTAGGGTCGGTTTTTTTTCACGGCATTTCCGAAAGTGTTCTTATAGCAAAAGTGATGCAACTCAATTGAAATCATGCAGCGGAAGACAGCGTGTATTGGTTTCCGGATAAAATACAATTGTTATCTTTGATGCGGCAATTGTGCATGTGACGGACATGACCTAATCGGAAGTAAAATTTGTGTGATTGTAATGATAGTAACTACACCACATTTCCAGTACTTTATAATAAAATTAACTGCTTTCTTTTTAAGAGTTTTGATTGTACTATATTGAAAATGACACAGCATACGTAGCAATACAGTAACTACATCTACATCAATTAATAGCTGTACAGTAACTACACCTACACCCCCTAAATCTAATACAGTTCTTCCTGCACCTGGTTCTCATCATGAACCCTGCGATGAGCACTGGTGGGGACAACATCATCAGGGGACAGGTCACCAAGCTCATCCCCCTCGAGCTCCTCGTCAGAAATGTCTGTCCATCCGACGATGCACAGCTTCCCGATGCCTATGCACTCTCCATCGCGCTTAACGTGGGTGGCGTTGATCCAACGCTGCACCACCCATGCCTGCCTGGCGAGAGCTGCAAGATCCCCGGAACGCGCGAACTGCCCCTTGCTGCAGGGATTGCGCAATTTGAAACGCACCTGAAACAGTAACGACAAAAGCACGTTGTAAGCATTACATTAATATAAATCACCAACAGTAAAACCAGAGAACTCACCGCTGCAAGCAGCACAAGAAGCTGCTCAGGAAACAAGGCAATCGGGAAGGACCCGTCCCACTCAGAGTCCCAGAGAGCAGCACACTTAACAAAACCGTCGCTAGAAAACGGGACTCCGCCCAGAACATGCCAGGGTAAGCCGAACAACTCTGCAAGGTGACAATAAGAAGGTCAGATACTGATTAACGGATGTTACAGAAAGCAGAAAAGAAACCTACTTACTCGAGTCGTTGGCGTTGACATAGACTTCGCACATGCGGGGGAAGCCCTTGGGCTCGTAGTAAAGAATCAGTCCCTTCAGGCTACGCTTCTCACCCATGAAGACACAAGGCTCGTTACTCAAGGCGTGGATGCGGGTAAATCGGTAAATCTTACCGATGCGATCATTGAACCGCACACAGGCATGCCTCAGCTTGCCCTGAGACTTCGCAATCGCAGCCACCTTCAAGCCTTCGGGTGAGTCCAGCGTGTGGCCCGAGTGCTCTGCATACAAACAAAAGAGTCAGCTTCCAAAAACGTACAGCCACCACAGAGAGAAAAGCACGCAATCCTTACTTATGAGCGATGCCAGCATGTCTTCGGAATCGGGACAGAGATTGAGCTTCTCTCGGTGGAACAGAAACTCGTTGCAAGCGTTCTTGGTGTACACCTGCAAGTAACAGATAAGAAATAGCAATCCGACGTTTCCAGATGAAAGCAATGCTGATTTAATACATGAAATGGTGGTACTTACCTCCCAGGTGAGAGTCGACGCGTCAACTTCCGTGGCTTTCTTAGCAAGGTGCGTTATAAGCACGAGGCAGTCCTTCAGTTCAGCCGACCTACGCTCGTTCTCCTGGCGATATGTTTCTGCGATCGCCTTCTGAGCACCCGCCTTAGCTACCAGCTCGTCGTTCACCTGGGGTTCGTCGCGCTCTTCCTCGTCATAAGCAGCGGCCTTAGTGGCGTACACCCGACCTTTCGCACGAGACATGATCAACTCCATCGGGCTGGCATCGGGCTTTTCTGTTGGTAGGAAAAAACAGATACGGAAACAGTAACATTAGTCATGGTTGCAGGCAACAAAATGCAAGGCTGAGAAAGGTGAGTCACCTTTTTTAGCACCGGGTTCCTTGTCCAGAACGACAGCGACACAATTCTCGATAGTTTCTATGGCAGCAGGGGGATGACCAGCGGCACCGGAGCCTTCGGGATGACCTGCAGTGTCGGCAGGGCCTGGTGGCTCGGCCGGAGCCTTGGCTGGCTGGGCCGGTGCCTTGGTTGGCTGGGCCGGTGCCTTGGCTGGCTGGGCCGGTGCCTTGGCTGGCTGGGCCCACGCCTTGGCTAGCTGGGACGGAGCAAAACCAGTTGTCGGCGAAGGCTCGGACGACCCAGCATCAGCAGCGTTGACATCTTGGAGGCTCCGACGCGCAATCTTATGACGCTGGCCGGTAGGGTGACGACCGGCTGGTTCTTCCTCCGTCTCTTCGGCAGTGTTGGCTCCTGCCATGTATAGTTAAGAGAAGAAGAACAGAATCAGACGTTTTTGACATAACAGAATCAGATGCTCGTCTAACAGGAAACAGCGAAGTCACCTGCGGTGGGGGTCGGGAAGAACAGGTGCCGATCCTTGCTCTTCCGCGGCAGCGTTGCTCGAGTCTGGTGCATTTTCAAAGAATCAGGGACAAGGTTCTTAGATTTTCCAATCGCCATGAGTTCTAGATAAAGGGTCAGGTAACCAAACGTATAGCCAGCAAGACGCCCGGCTACTATATTTATATGTAAACCGAACGTGACAATACAAAGGAGTTGAGTTTTGAGTGAAGGAGCCACTAATAAAAGTGCTAAATCGAGTGAAGATGCACGCACCATGATTGGACACTTAACCAAACCTGCGACAGCAGTCGCAGGGAGTGGAGGCTCGGCATGCGACGCGGGAGAAATGGCGAAGGTAGAAATAGCGAGGAGTCGAAGTTTGAGATTCAAATTTTGAAATTCTAAAACAAGAAACATCTAGAGAGCACGTAACCTTACCTCTGCCAACGGGGAGGGGAAATGGGGGGGTGGAAGAGAGAAAGGAAGGGGGGTGGTGTGCGGAGTATCACGATGGCCATGCTCTCAGAATGGAAATTACACTACTCACCCATCCCTAGTGCTAAAACAAGTGTAAGATATGTCAGACTATTCTGTACTAAATAACGAAAAAAATCCCACCTCTCTGTTACCCTCCTTCCGCAGGCAGTACAGTACAACGCCTTTTGATGTTTGCCCACACCCCGCAATATTTCCCACTTTATCTATCAGATGCCCCAGAAGCCAGGGGCAATGAATGATGCTCGACAGGATGTGGTTCGCTTGCCGCGTGTGAGAGGGTTGATTGGTTGGACGCGTGCCATGCACTTCACACATGATTTTGCAACTGGCTGACTGACCAGGAGAACCAGTTGCAAAATCATGCAACGTTGGCGCGGGGCGCCAATACTGTACATGCATGTACAGCAACAAAAACACCGACACAGTAAAAATGTTGCAGCAGAACACGAGGCCGTCCATGCGCTGATGCAGTTTTCTTGTCGACGTGGTTCGCCACTTGTGGGGCATGACTTTTCGGATTTATCGAGACAAAGCAGTTGTGACAAAGAACTGGGTATGACACGACACCAAAGCAAAACTCAAGGGCGTAAACCAAACCCGAAGCTAGTATTGTTTGGAACCCGGACGTGAAGCCTACGGGAAAGTAGTCGAGGGTTGCGGTCTATATTTACCTAAACGTTAAACAGAAATGAACTACATGTTGCAAAGGAATCTTGAACCAACATGCCAACAGCAACATGGTTACAAAAAAATCAACAAGAAACAACCAGACAATCTTTCCAAGTGGCCCAGTTTCAAGGAATGACATCAGTGCGTCTGAAGTTGGAGTTGGGTACTGTTGGGCCATAACGCAACAGCTTAAGTTGTTACGCTCCAGTAGCTGAAGTACTGTTGTTGCGTTGTTACCCAACTCCATCAGTACTGTTGCGTGCAGTGCGGCGCAACTTCCACAGTAAACCAAAATAGTTGCATATTTCACGATTGTGTTGTTTCTTTACAGAAACAACTTTGGGATAAAAGCTCTTTCAGTAGAATGTAGAGGTGAATGAACAAATATTCTACATAAATAATAAAAGAATTGCCTCAATCTTAGCAAAACAATATATACATATATGAGCCCTACATTTGCAAAACAACAACGATAATATATGGTATAATATACAATGCACTTATATACACAAATATACAATAAAATTTCCTACCACTTGAACTGGTTCAAAATGAACTTTGCGAGTGGATGAGACGGATCGATGGTTTTGGGGACAACATGGCGCACACGCAGTATACTCTCAACGGGGAATACCCCATATCCGCGGTGAGATGGCCACCAGCCAAGAGTCTTCATATCCATCGTCACAGACTGCGTCTGGACCTCGTAGTAACGACCAAATGCAAGGTGCTCTGAAAACTGCTCATCCTCGTCGTCGTCATTAAGCACCGTCCATCTCAGAGTGAATATAAGGAAAATATTTGCATGCCAAACCATCTTCTTCTTCTTGTCATCCTCGCCCTCAACATCCACATCAGGATACCAAGGTTTTCCATGGAACTGTGGTGTTGCGCGTGCATACTGTGGATACCTACTATACCTCGTAAAATCGTCGTCCGGTGGTACCGCAACACCTCCATGCACATCTATTATCTCCTGATATTGTACCTCCTTGTCGGGATGGAGCAGCTCTAGATACGCCCCAATAGACTCACCCAAGAGGTTAAAGTCGCCTGGGACGCTCGTAGCGTATGCTCTGTAATTGTTGTCTCTCTCGTTTCCCACCCTTAACCTCGCCGATGTCCCCGTGACCGTTGGAACTCTTGTCTCTATGGCCTGCACATATAAATACAGACAGATGTTGAATGTGATAGAACTGGCAGTGTAAACATCCAACACGCGGCCAACTAGACGAGCACGTTACAACACTGCATAGATATGTCAAACAAAGTGTTGTCAAACTATTGCATACCTGCTGAAGGGCGACACTCTGTGCCTGGTCATCTGCTACCTCATCGACGGCGGACATCTTCTCGACCAGCTCTGACGTAAGGCAACGCCGAGTGATCGATGCCTCAGCGTTCCTCTTGTTGGATGCTCGGTATGGCCTCTTCATCAATGCCACGTGCACGTGCTCGTACACGTCAGTGCAGTAGTGAATAGGCACGCCACGTCGCCTGATGTCGTCGCTGATGTGTAGCATCGCGTGGATCTTCGGGATGTTGAATTTCGATGCTTGTTCTTCCACGCTGAACTCGTCGACAAGCATGGGGACAAGCCTGCGCATTCACCAATTGCATGGAACAAACAAAGACAATTAAATCATAACACGTATGAGTTTTGCTGACAAGGCACGTTTAATGCGGCTCTGCCCTATGACGAATTGACACATCTCGTACTTACGTGCGCGCCATCTCGTCAAGGTTGGCCAGCGACTCGTCAGTGTGGTATGTGCGATGCCATGCCTCCCTGTGCCATGTACAGTACAGCTCCACTGCACGAATAGTCCTCACGTCAACCTTCGCCATCAGCAGCAGCGCTGGAAGAACCTGCATCACAGCCTGATGATGGAATGCCTTGAAGGTTGCATGGCCGCTGAAGTATCCATCAGTGTGTGCAGGAATCCGGAAGAATGACTGTCTGCTATACTGAGTGATGCGTTCGAGTGCAGAGTCAAGTTCCCGCAGGGTCTCCGCACTCAGCTTCACCTTTAGTCCCTCCAAAATATGCTTGTACACCCCGAGAAGGGACATGTGCATGATGTCGGATGTTAGTTGCCGGTACGGGTTGCCGAAATCAGTGTTGCCAAAACGTTGTCCCCACAAGGCACTCTGTGATTAAATAAGGCAATCCGCACATGCACATACACACAGATGTACACACACACACATGTGCACACACGCATGCAAACACACATATGTACACACATGCATATACATACACACAGCACACACACACATGTACACACTCACACATGCATACACACACATGCACACACTCACATACATGCATACACATACATATATGCACACACTCACACATGCAGACACACGCATGCACACACACACATGTACACACATGCATACACATACACACATGCACACATACATGCATACACTCACACATGCACACACTCACATGCACACACTCATCCGTGCACACTCACACATGCACACACACACACATGCACACACTCACACACATACATACACATACACATACACATATGCACACACACACACATACACACACTCACACACATGCATACACATACACATATGCACACACTCACACATGCAGACACACGCATATACACACACATATGTACACACATACATACACATACACACATGCACACACATATGCACACACTCACACATGCACACACTCACATGCACACACTCATCCGTGCACACTCACACATGCACACACACACACATGCACACGCGTGCACATGCACAAACAACCAAACAAACACGATACGCGTTAGCTTAGTCGAACGATACCAGACGTTGCAATTCCCTTCAAGTTGCATGTACGCGTAGGACAAGACATACCTTGACGCAGTGTGTGCTGTGAAGCTTGGACAAATCCTTTCGTTTCCCCTGTGTCGTTGCGCGTTCCATATCCTCCACATGCTGCATCTGCCCTTCCTCTGTCCGAAAAGTCAGAGGGTACTCCATATTACTCAGCTCCTCTCTCGGGACGGTGCACTTGGGGCATGGAAGGCGAGTCTTGATGCCAGACTTGGTCCCCGCAACCTTGCACTGCTCTGGGTAGTCGCCGATGTAGGAGTACGTCATCGGGTATACCGTACGGAGAATGCCATACGGATCCGTCAGCTCCATGCCCCTGCATCCAACAGATACATAGCAGCACTGTCAAATGGTGTATGGCGAGACAACACTCCGAGACGCACCATAGACGATTACAACACATTCGGATAGCGTCCAAACCACTTACGAGTGTTGTGCCTTCTTCAGGTCTTCCATGATGAGAGCAAGCGCTTCCTGGAACACCTCAAGCCGCCGTTGCTTCTTAGCCACATTCGTGAAGAGAGAGCCATCATTTTCAGGCAAGAGAGCACAGAGCCGATGCCCGTGGGGTTTCCATCGATTCCCAGGAGCGATGTTGGCCAGGGAAATGTACACTGGCCATCCTTTCAGTCCGCCATCGGTCGGCAGGGTTGTTTCATCCGAATAGATGATTACTGCAGCTACCGCGCTGGGTGGATCACCACCAGCAGGCAGTCGATGCAAAATCTCCCGCCACCAGCTTCCCGTCTCAGGACCCTTGTACATTTGTTTGTCTTGGGTAGATTTATTCCGAGGTTTCACCACGAAGCCGTGTGCATTCGCCACATTCTCGTATAAACCTTTTACGCACGAGAGAGCCGAACGCCGCCAGAGAATCACAGGCTTCAGATCCCCCTCCTTCGTTAACTCCACCTGCTCGAACGGTTCAATGTTCGCCCCTGCCAATTGCTCCTCCTCGTACTTGTCGAATTCTGCAAGAGACTTAATGGTTAGCCGTCCGGGATGGGCCACCACTTCGACAAGAATGGATAGTAGTTCCTTCATATCCACACGCGATAGCCCAGATCCACCCGCTGCTGTGCGAACCAATCGGTACACCCGAGCATCAATATCAACCGAAGTTGCATCGCACTCAGGGGCAAACAAGTAGCCCGTCGCATCCTCATTCAATTCAGCCGCGTCCGGTTGGTCATCCAAACGGCTCGGCCCTGGTTGTGTTTGACTTCGTGGGCGTTTGCTGGATTTCGAGAGAATGCGGTTTGCAGCTGCTTGAAGACTTCCTACAGATCCTCCCTGGCTGCTGTCATCTCGCAATCCCTCAGTTGCCGCCTCTGCTGGTTGGAATTTGTGCTTTCCCATCTTGACGTGACGTGCTTTCTGATGTGCAAAAGAGAACGTCGCTAAACACCCAGGATAGCCACACTTGAAAGGCCTCAACTGATCAGCCATGCTGCAGAAATGATGGTTGCAGGTATCCAACTGTAGCACACTAATGCGCTCTATAACATTGAAGTACACAAAACACCCACCCCAAGCTGCTCAGTACTACTATTATATCTACAACTTCTACAACCAGAAACTGTCTTGGCCGCAGGGTAGAACAGCAACCTTGTGATTTCCTACAGGATCAGAAAATAAAAATAAAATTCCAGCACAGGTTAAAAACGCCAACCACTTGTAGTAAAATAATAATATTACAGCACAATTGGACGTAAGACAAGAATCAAACGAACCCATACGCTAAATCAATAGACAATGTTGTGCACCATAATCGAAAATGCTTACCAAGAGCTTCAGTCTAAAGGCGTGAATGGAGATCAGCGGACCACAAGGAAACACGCCTGCAGATTGCCAAACATTGGAAAGAAAAAATGGGAGGAATCAGCAAAACATAAAAGAAAATCGTTGCTGCCTACACAAAAATAAATTCACCTACATTTGTCACACTCACGGACTCCGACGGGGTGCTGTATCAATAGCCTCAATGCGCTTATTCGAATCCAACAGGAGCTTAAGGTGGCAGGGACGTAGGCTAGGCGCTGGAGTTTCTGGAGAAGCTTGAGTTAAGGAAGGTGAAAAAAATAACAATCTGAAAGAAACAAGTGAGAAATGACGTTGCCTCAGACTACCCCCCCGAACGGAAAGGATTGGGGGGAGGGGAGCAGATAGTTGAAAGGGACCTCTGAAGGACGAGGTGTCACTACATGTGTGTTACACACCCAACCAGAAAGTTTAAAACAGTTGTGTAGACACGTTTGACCGCGCACAACCGCACTTCACCTTTCATTTCATAACGCATACACGTTTTTGTTCTTTGCGATGGAGGGAAATACGATTGGTTTCCAACGGTGCAGGTCAACCGAGGGTAGCAGGCTTGTTTCTATTGGTTCAAAAACAATCGCGGCGATTTTTTGCCACGCGTCAAAGAATCCACCACGCGTACACCTAGACAAGTGGTTTTGCTCGAGGCCCCGTAACCAGGGCCCCGTTATGGGTGAGGGTTATTTTGTCCTCACGCGGGACTCGTCAGCAAAATGACGAACCAAGGCCTGGGCACTCAGCCACTCCGACTGCTGCGAAGTCGGGCGGCTGATCCTTGGGCGCAGTTGGGGGCCGAGCCACGATCACACGTGGCTCGGTCGATAGCTGACACAGCCCGAGCCCCAGCTCGGCTGGGACCACCTGACCCAACTACACCAGGGCTGTGCCAGGCTGACGCAGCACGCACTTTCAACTGGTTACCCAGCGAAAAGAAAATCTGGCGCGCAAAAACCTGACGCGCCAGAATTTCTGTTGTGCGAACAGCAGAAGCGAAGTATTACACCCACCTGAAATGTTTCGCGCTGGCAAATATTGATCCACCTGCAACCTCCAATTTCATCCACCCTGTGTGCACCTGGACAGACCCGACCGTTGAACGATCTGTCCTTGCCAGGGCCCACGCGCGATTTACCGTATCTGTAGATGGGCTCCTCGCAGGTTGACTGGGCGATACTTTACAGATTAAATTTCTCTGACATATTCAACAATACTCCCAACAAGCATCGAAAAGGCAATGCCCTTGCGATTATGTGTTATGGAGTATATAGACTGAAGGTACCCTAAACTGTACCAATTTCGCGTAAATTATGAACGATTTCGTTACAAAGTGTAGCAGGTGTGTGATTCTAATTCCACTACAACACTAAATTTACCGAATTCCAACGTAATTCATACGCCAGCTTATTTCAGCCTTTTATGTAAAGAATCCTATGATATTGTAATGCTAAAGCTTTTCATGAGCTGAATGCGCAAAAAATACAACAAAATATTCAGATATCATATTAAATGTTTGCACATATTTAAATCTACATAAACTAACACGACAAGTTACACTTCGGGAACCTTTATACAAGATAATGGAATCAACCATCCATGGCAAAGGCAAAATTTCGACCAACCAGACCGTGCAGGCGTGGAGCTTCGCGACTGGCCAAAATCTTCACAGCTACTTCCATACCTGTGCCATACCTACAACTCACCACCCATGCCTCGAAATCAGGTGCGACTTCTCGGACTCGCGCTGGGCAACACACAAACGATACGCCCCCAAAGCATCCAAAGCGCAAACCATTGGTCAAAGCCAATGGTTTGCAAACCGAAACGACTGGTTTTACCCAACCAGTCGCTGGCAACTGGTTTCCGATACGAAAGCGAGAAAACATAGTTTCGCGATGGTCAACTTTTTAGAGTTGACCTCTCTCTCGTTCTCTCCCTAGTCTGGTAGACGGATTAAGGCGTTTTATGGTTGTGCAGTACCTGGCGGTCGTAAACCCTAAAGTCGGTGTGTTCCCACAAGGTACTACCTTAGACACTAAGCATCATAGTGCATTTATTGTTTCTGGCCCAAAAATTGTGTAGGGCGCAATCATGACATACAGCAGCAGCAAGCACACTGGGACCACTCCCGCTCCTGCTACTGCAATTAACACTACTACTACGTCTACTAGTAACACCAACACTGGCGCCAGCTGCATGATAGTGCCAAGGCAGCCTCAGCCTCAGCCTCAGCCGCATGCTGCTACTACTACCACCACGGGAAGCGGGACTGCTAGCGCTGCTGAGTGCGGCGGCGGCGGCACGGCTCTCAGAAACACCAGCATGGGGAATGCGGCCGTGCAGGTGCGTCAAGAGGGGTCCGCTCAGCAGCCTCGGAAATATCACAGCAGCATTGCTCCTGGTGGTGCGGCCACGGTATCACGGATCACCAACAGCACCAGCACCAGCACCAGCATGGGGAATGCAGCAACAGCGCCACTGGCGCTGCGGCGTGGGTCCGCGCGGCAGCAGCAGCAGCGGCGCCTCTCATCTGCCGCCACGCTCTCCGCGGCGACGAGCGCCCGCGCTGCCAGCGGTCGTACGCCCGCACCCGTCACGCTCCCGGCGCATCACCAGTTCCCGCATTGGGCGGCGGTGCACGCGGAGGAGCTGAGGCGCGTGCCCCAGGACGTGATGCCAGAGGACGGGCACTGCTGGCTGAAATACGGCGAGAAACGAATCCTCAAGTCATCCTGCCACAGGTGAGCGTGGGCTTGGTATTGAGAAGGAGGGCTCTCACTGCTGGGCTGGCAGGGGGGTGCCGCACAAGGATGGCACTGCTGCGTTAAATACGGCGAGCTTCAGCTTTCAACTTGAGCCAAGTTTTTAAGGCGCCTCCAAAGCTCAAGTACGGCGAGAAGCGACTCGTCAAGTCCGCTTGCCAAAGGTGAGCTGTATCAAACTGAAACGGCTTTTCTTGCAGGTATCACTTGTGTTCTCGTCCTCGTTGTTCCCTTCCGCTGAGCTGTAGGAAGACTTTTGGGATGTCTCAAAACTCGCATTCCCAGACATCTCAGATTCTGCTGGCCGTTTCCAACAATGCACCACTCCTGTTGGCCCCTTTCCTTGGTAAAATGATGCAGCATCCCCTAGTTAGTCACCCCCTTCGGTTCCCATCCCCTCCCACATCATCTCATCTTCTTTCACCCCTCGGCCCCCCTTTCCCTCTCCTTCCTCCTCCCACCCCCTCCCCTGCTCCGTGCTGTCCCCGACCACAGGTCGTACTTCCGCTGTGCGCGCTCCACGTGCCTCCCTCCGCCTGCCAGCACTGACACCCGCCAGGCCGATGCAGGAGCCGCATGGTCACCCGCTGCATCAGCAGCAGGGGCACGCGCAACACCAGCAACAGCAGAGCAGCAACACCATTCGTCCTAGCAGCAACGCCTTCAATCTTTTCTGACCAGCCTGCTGCTGCTGCGGCAGCGGCTGCTGATGCTGGTGCAGTTTCTGATGCCAATACCACTCCTCATTCCAAGGCTGATCCCAATGACGCCCTTGCTGATGCTTCTGATGATTCCGCTAATGATGCTGATGCTGCTGGTGATTCTGCTGAAGCCAGCACTGCGACCCCAACCGCCGCCCCCTCTCCCACCGTCGTCCGCTCATGTCCCGCTTGCAAGCGCGTTGACTGGCAGCTACTACACCTCACTCCTGCCGTCCACCCCTCGCAGCTGCCGCCCGGTTTCGACGCGGCTGCGCAGGCGGCAGGTAAGCCGCCTGGGTCTATAATTTTCACCCGGGTGGCGTATGTGGGCAAGCACAACCACAGTGACGCACCCATTAGCTTCCGAATTAGTCCCTCTGCAGCACCGGATGCAGCTGCTGCTTCTGCTGCTGCTGCTGCTACTGCTGCTGCTGCTGCTACTGCTTCTTCTTCGGCTGCCGCCGCCGCTGCTGCTGCTGCTGCTAGCCAAGGTGGGGTGGGTAAGCCTGCAGAGCGGGCAGATGTGGTGGGTATTGGAGGCGAGAAGGGTGAGTGGAACGAACAGCAGCAGCCGCAGCAGCATTTGCAGCAGGCGGCGCAGCAGCAGGGGCAGCAGGGGCGGCGTGAAGGTAATGCAGCATGTTACGCAAACGGGAACGAGAGAACTCCTGGAACGTTACAGGTCCTGACAGCCGTGCACGCACTACCGCACACACAGCATGCAGCACAGCACGCACAGCAAGCAGCACAGCACGCACAGCATGCAGCACAGCACGCACAGCATGCAGCACAGCACGCACAGCAAGCAGCACAGCACGCACAGCATGCAGCACAGCACGCACAGCATGCAGCACAGCACGCAGCACAGCACGCACAGCATGCAGCACTGCACGCACAGCATGCAGCACTGCACGCACCTGCAGAACATCCCCGCCGGGAGGAGATGCAGCCCCCGCAAGAGCATCAACAGCCGCAGCCGCAGCCGGAGCAGCAGCAGCAAGAGGAGTGCAGAGCGGTGCTGCAGTCATTTTCCGCCCCATGCTGCCTGACGCAGCAGCACTCTTCCACGCCCTCCTCTCTCGGCAAGCGGTCACGTGCAGACGACTCCTCCTTAATGTCGGAACCGTGCTTGCCCTCTCATGCTCCTCTCATGCCCTCTCATGCTCCTCTCATGCCGCTCATGCCTCTCCCGCCACTCTCGCTTCTCCCGCCACTCAAGCGTCTCACTCCCTCCCCCATGCAGCTCAGGTTAAATAGAGGGAGTTCTTCTCCTCTCACTGATTCTTCCTCCCGGTGGAATAACAGCGGCGACCAGCTGGGGTGGAAGGACGCTGGAATGTGCACTGTGCTGCAGCCGCTGCCGCAGCAGCAACCGCAGCAGCATCAAGAGCAGCAGCAGCAGCAACCACAGCATCATCAAGAGAAGCAGCAGCAGCAACCGCAGCAGCATCAAGAGAAGCAGCAGCAGCAACCGCAGCAGCATCAAGAGAAGCAGCAGCAGCAACCGCAGCAGCATCAAGAGAAGCAGCAGCAGCAACCGCAGCAGCATCAAGAGAAGCAGCAGCAGCAACCGCAGCAGCATCAAGAGAAGCAGCAGCAGCAACCGCAGCAGCATCAAGAGAAGCAGCAGCAGCAACCGCAGCAGCATCAAGAGAAGCAGCAGCAGCAACCGCAGCAGCATCAAGAGAAGCAGCAGTAACAACCGCAGGAGCATCAAGAGAAGCAGCAGCAGCAGAAGCAGCAGCAGCAGCAGCAGCAGCAGCAGCAGCAGCAGCAGCAGCAGCAGCAGCAGCAGCAGCAGCAGCAGCAGCAGCAGCAGCAGCAGCAGCAGCAGCAGCAGCAGCAGCAGCAGCAGCAGCAACAACAACAGCAGCTGCAGCAGCTACAACAGCAGCTAGAGCAGCAGCAACTGCAACAGGAGCAACAGCTGCAGCAAAGGTGGCAGCCCCAGCAGCAGCAAGAATAGTCGCCGTCGCAGCAGCAGCCACAGTCCCTCAATCTGCTCGCGTCGCTCACCCGCTTGGCCGTTTCCGATGCTGCCACTGCTGCTGCTTGCAACGATGCCCGTCCTTTTAACGCTTCCTCTCCTTTTGACGCTGCCCCTCCTTCTAACGCTGCCCCTCCCTTTAACGATACCCCTCTTTTTCGTGCCAGTGCTGCTGCTTCCGATGCTGCTGCTTCCGGTGCTGCTGGTGTCAGTGCTGCTGGTGTCAGCGCTGCTGGTGCCAGTTCTCCCATGGTTCCCCCACCCACATCCCCAGCTGCCCTTTCAGGCGCCCCGCTAGAAGTCCCTCTGGACTCCCACTCTCTGCTGATCTCGGTGCTCCGTGCCAATCCCTCTCGCGCCGACCTCTTGTCAAGCCCCAGCAGCCATGGCAGCAGCCCCATCCGCAGCACCAGCTGCAGCAACAGCAACGCTGGTAACCGTGCCGGGAATTATGCTGGGAATATTATCGGTAACCGTGATTGGAGCGGCATTCTTGCTGGGAACAATGCCGGTTGTAACAACCGGAGCAGTGAGAGGCACGACAGCTGGCGCCCCGTGACGGGCGGCAGTGACGGTTACAGGAGGCCTATCAGCAGAAGTGGCAGTGCCACCGATGTGGGCGTGGCTGTTGTGCCTACGTCTGTGACTGCGGTCAGTAACCAGTTTGATGAATCAGCGCCACGTCAGCTGCAGGGGCTGCTGGAAGATCTTGTGCCACGTCATCTGCTGAATGGCTCGCAGGCGGTCATCAGAGCAGCGCAGTACGAGGCACTGGCTACAGCAGCAGGAGCGGCGTTTCAAACACCAGCCACATCAGCAGCACCATGTTGGATCCCTGCTACAACAGCAGCACCCGTTCAGACACCGGCAGCAGGACCTGCGTTTTGGAAACCAGCCACATCAGCAGCACCAGATCAGGCACCAGCTAGAGCAGCTACACCAGCAGCAGCAGCAGCAGCAGCTACAGCAGCAGCAGCATTGGCGTTTCAGTCCATGGCATGTCCTGCTGCGGAAGCAGAGCTTACAGCACAACAACAGACGTGGGCCCAGCTCCCATCTCAAGGCCCCACTGTGTCACCAGCTATGGCTCAGAACCAACCAGTAGCAGCAGCATCAGCTGCTGCGCTTGCTTTCCTGTCGCCTCCTCTGCTCCCTCTTACCACCCACACTCCGCACCAAACAGCAGCAGCGGCGGCGGAGGCGCTGGCGCTGCATTGCATGTCGCCTCATGCAGAGCCGCATCCACTCTCTGCAGAGCTGCTGCCCGCTGCAGTATCGCCACCCACTACTGTGTCTCAACCCGCTGCAGTGTTGCCACCCGCTCTTGTGCTGCCTACCCTGGCAACCCCATTCTGTGAATATGCGTACTGGCAATCCCAAGGGGAGGGGCAGCAGCAGCAGCAGGGGCAGCAGCAGCAGGGGCATCTCACCACTCCTCTGACCATTCATCTCACCACTCCCCTCACCACTCCCCTCATCACTCCTCTCAGCACTCCTGCAGCTGCCATGGGCCCTGTTTCATGCGGCCCTGCTCCCACCACTGTCCATCACCCCCTCGCCTCGCTCGCTCCGCCTCCCATCCACAACCACAACCACAACCACAACCACAACCACAACCACAACCACAACCACAACCACAACCACAACCACAACCACGGGCACGGGCACGGGCACGAGCAATATGCAAGCACTGCTGCTGCGCACCTGCACCAGTTACACCTCCCCCAGGTGCCGCCTGCACTGGCTTTTCACGCAGGGAGTGGTACGCAGTCTGATGCAGAAGATACGCATGGTTACCAGCTTGTCATCTCACGACAGCAGTTGGATGTTAGTGACCCGGCCATTGGAAGGGCTAGTAATGGCGCCATTGTTTCTGGTTGTGCCTCTGGTGGTTCTTCTGGTGATGCCTCTGGTGGTGCTGGTGCTCCTACCACTGTTGACGTGGGTGGTAGTAGTGATACACATAACAATGCGAATCACACCCAAGCCAACACGAGTCACACCCGTGACTTCAAGGGTGTGGGTGGATATTCTGTGTGCGCCTTGGGCACCGGTCCAACTCCTGCCATTCATACTGCCGGTGGGCAAACGCTTGGGGTGCGCGATGCACATGTACTCTCAGCATCGGGCTTGACTGCTTGGGGTGCGTGGCCGATGTGGGCAGCATGGGTGGCATGGGTGGGATGAGCGGCATGGGTGGCATGGGTGGCATGGGTGGCATGAGCAGCATGAGCAGCATGGGTGGCATGGGTGGCATGGGTGGCATGAGCAGCATGGGTGGCATGGGTGGCATGGAGGGTATGGAGGGCATTGGCGACGTGGCCGGGATGGAAGGCACAGGGGCCATGGGGGAGGATGAGTTGCTGATGGAGGCGGCAGCATGGCTGAGAGAGAATGGAGGGTTGGAGGCACTGGATTGGCTGCCAGATCTTTTAGGCTAATTTTAGTAGGGTTGAGTGATATTGATGGCCCTCACCAGAGAGGCATAGCCTGGGGATGTTGTTTTGGTTACATGGATATAAATACGTTAATTATGACACTAGAGAGGCGCATCAGTGTTGAGTGTCTCACAAGCACTTGTGTTGTTGAATTGAGCGTCTACACTTGAGATGGGGGTGTGAAACGTTTTCGTATAAAATCCACTTCCCATAATAGATCCATTCCCCCAGACTCTCCTCCCCATCGCCCCAACACCCAACTGACAAAGGCAGACTGAGCACAATAAAACCAGCAGATATTCTAGAAAATAAACTCATATGCAGGCAAGTCTCCCCTCCTATTGCAACGAGATGACTTTTGAGTCGACTCAAAAGTCACCAGCACAGATGCCAGACAATAAACCTCCTAAACATGCAAGGTGTCTCCAGGGCTCTTGGGCCTTTGGGCCGTCTGAAAAATAAAAATAAAAATAAAATAAAAATAAAAATCCTTTAGTCTGACCATCATACGAGAGATTTTGGGTGGTATTCTTTGTCAAAGTACAATCTTACTTGTAGGCTATAGTGGGGCACTCCTTATGGGGTACAGCACTTCTAGGGTTAGTACTTGTGCCCCAACTCTTGCTAATCCAATCATTCCTGCACAGTTCTCTCGATATGGTTTCAGAGCAGGTCCATCTGTAGGACCACTTGTTTAGGGCCCACCGTTAGTTCCGTTCTGCCCATTTTCCTGCCCGAATCGCGCCCCTAGGCAGGCCGTTTTTCCCGCCCGAATCGCGCCCCTAGGCAGGCCGTTTTTCCTCCCCGAATCGTGCCCCTAGGCTGGCCGTTTTTCCTGCCCGAATCGCGCCCCTAGGCAGGCCGTTTTTCCTGCCCGAATCGCGCCCCTATGCAGGCTGTTTTTCTGCCCCGAATCGCGCCCCTAGGCTGACCGTTTTTCCTGCCCGAATCGCACCCCTAGACAGGCCGTTTTTCCTACCCGAATCGCGCCCCTAGGCAGGCCGTTTTTCCTGTCCGAATCGCGCCCCTAGGCTGGCCGTTTTTCCTGCCCAAATCGCGCCCCTAGGCTGGCCGTTTTTCCTGCCCAAATCGCGCCCCTAGGCAGGCCGTTTTTCCTACCCGAATCGCGCCCCTAGGCAGGCCGTTTTTCCTGCCCGAATCGCGCCCCTAGGCAGGCCGTATTTCCTACCCGAATCGCGCCCCTAGGCAGGCCGTTTTTCCTGCCCAAATCGCGCCCCTAGGCTGGCCGTTTTTCCTGCCTGAATCGCGCCCCTAGGCAGGCCGTTTTTCCTACTCGAATCGCGCCCCTGCTGCTGCCGCTCCAGCCCCTGTTACTGCAGCTACAGCCCTACTGGTGCAACTACAGCCCTTGCTGCTGCAGCTACAGCCCCTGCTGCTGCCGCCCCAGCCCCTTCTACTGCAGCTACAGCCCTGCTGGTGCAGCTACAGCCCTTGCTGCTGCCGCTACAGCCCTTGCTGCTGCCGCTACAGCCCCTGCTGCTGCCGCTCCAGCCCCTGTTACTGCAGCTACAGCCCTGCTGGTGCAGCTACAGCCCTTGCTGCTGCCGCTACAGCCCTTGCTGCTGCCGCTACAGCCCCTGCTGCTGCCGCCCCAGCCCCTTCTACTGCAGCTACAGCCCTGCTGCTGCAGCTACAGCCCTTGCTGCTGCTGCTACAGCCCTGCTGGTGCAGCTACAGCCCTTGCTGCTGCCGCTACAGCCCTTGCTGCTGCCGCCACAGCCCTTGCTGCTACCACTACAGCCCTTGCTGATGCTGCTCAGCGTGCTGCTGCCACTGCTGCATGCGCTGCTGCTGCTACCACTGCTACATGCTCTGCTGCTGCTGCCACTACTGCATGCTCTGCTTCTCCTGCTAAGTGCTGCTACTTACTACAGCTGACGCTCCTTGCTGCTGCTGCTCCCTGCTGCTGCTGCTACTTACTGCTGCAGCTCCTTGCTGCCACTGCTCCTTGCTACTGCTGCTGCTGGTGGAGGTGCTGCTGGGAGTGCTGGGAGTGCTGCTGGTGCTGGGGGTGCTGGAGGTGCGACTGGGAGTGCTGGAGGTGTTGCTGGTGCTGGAGGTGTTGCTGGTGCTGGAGGTGCTGGACCTACTACTGACCGTCACTGCCTGTCATGGCCACTATCACGGCAGTTGCAGCAGCTAGGGGTGGACAGCGGCGGTCACTGCCTCTCCCGGACGACCCCACCCCTCAGAAACTTCGCGAGTGGGTTCTTCAGCGAGCCCGTCCAGGTGGTGGGGGCTTTGGTTTTCTATGTACTGCGCAGAGGCGGCAGCAGAGTCAGCAAGAGACCTTCTCCCCGCAGGTGCTTAGTGCGTTGTTTCCTCAGCGATGTGTCACTAGTTCTGTCGAGGCTGCTGCACTAGGTGCTAGTGAGTCTGCTGCCGCACTAGGTGCTAGTGAGTCTGCTGCAGCTTTAGGTGCTCGTGCGTCTCCCGCCACACTTTCACACTTGACTCGAGCGCGTCACGTTGCTTCTTTCGTGACTGCACCTCACTCACACCACTTGCTGCACCGGTACCGGTCTCACTGGCTGACCCCACTGGGGGCCCAGTAGTCGCGCGAGCCTCCACTGTCCTCACGTGTCCAGCAGTCCCCTCCGGTTCTTTGTTAGGTCTCCACCTCCCCACGTTCTCGACGAACTTAGTGAGCAATGCTGCCATTCAGGATGTCTGGGTTGATACCTTTATTCCTGGAGGGCAGCGTGTGGCGATCTGTACATGCTCCCGGACTGGCCGTCACCTGGCTACGTTCACTCGACGGCCTGGGTCTAGTCTGTACACACTGACCACTGCGTCTGCACAGGTGGCTGCGGAAGGTCAGGTGGCTGCGTCGAGTCAGGTGTCTGCGTCTGGTCAGCTTGCAGCGTCTTGCTCGTGTCGGGTACTCTCCCACTAGACTCTCCTCTGGCACCACCGCCTCGGTCACCCCTCCCTACCGCGTCTCCGTGGTATGCACTCCCGTCTCCTTGTCTCTGGCCTTCCCAGGTCCCTGCCCTCCCTCCCACGCTCGCCTGCCCCGCCGTGCCTTCCCTGCGTCGAGGGGCGGCAGCGCGCCGCTCCTCACTCCTCCGAGTTTCCTCCGACCACTGCTCCTCTGCAGACTCTCCACATGGACGTTTGGGGCCCAGCCCCCGTCGGTGGAACGGACCAGGAGCGCTACTTCCTGCTGGTTGTTGACGACTACACACGTTACACCACTGTCTTCCCCTTGCGGCGCAAGGCGGACGTTAGTGGTGTTTTGATCCGCTGGATTTGTGACTCGTCGACAGCTGTGCGAGCGGTTCAGTCAAGACTTCCCAGTCCTGCGTCTGCACTCTGACAGGGGCGGTGAGTTCTCTTCTGACCTCCTTGCGGAGTTCTGTCGAGACGAGGGCATCGTCCAGTCGTTCATGCTTCCGGCCTCTCCTCAGCAAAATGGGATTGCTGAGCGTCGCATTGGCTTGATCATGGAGGTTGCTCGTACCTCCATGGTCCATGTGGCTGCTCCCCATTTTCTGTGGCCGTTTGCGGTCCGATACGCTGCGCATCAGCTCAACCTCTGGCCCCGGGTCTCTGAGCCAGAGACCTCGCCCACACTCCGGTGGACGGGGAAGGTTGGCGATGCGTCGGTGTTTTGGGTCTGGGGCGCGCTCTCCCTTGTTCGCGATGCCAAAGCGAACAAGCTCTCCTCTCGCACTCTCCGCTACGTCTTCCTTGGCTTCCCCACCGACGCCCTGCCGTGGCAGTTTTACCACCGCGCTCGCGTCGAGTCTTCTCCTCCCAGGACGTCACCTTTGACGAGTCTGTCTGTTACTACATGCTCCACCCGCACGTGTCCCACCCAATCCCCCTAGCGCCTCTCTTCTTGGTACCAGTCCCCCCCCCGGTAGACCCCCTCCCCCCACAGGGTCCTGCTCCCTCAGGTGTGTCTCAGGTAGATCTACCCCCCTTGGTTGAGCCTTTGGAGGTCTCTTCTGACTCCTCTGGCCCAGCTGAGGGGGGTGACCGTGCCGCTGACGACACGGCGGCCACTCGCCGCTCTCCACGCTTGGAGACCCCCCCTGGTTTTCCGCCTCGGCCGTCTTCGCCGCCTCCGCAGCCTGCTGCTGTGGACTCTGGAGCTGAGACTGCTGGTGCTGAGTCTGGGGGTGCTGAGCCAGAGGGTGAGGGTTCTAGGGGTGCTGGTTCTGGGGGTGCTACGACTGGGGGTGCTGGTTCTTGGGGTGCTGCGACTGGGGGTGCTGACTCTGGGGGTCCTGCGAGTCCTAGTGGCGGTGGAGCTGTGGGTGACCCTGCTGAGCTGGACAGCCACCGCAGCCTGACCTACTTGAGACGCTCTCGCCGCAGGCGATTCGTGCGTGGATCGTTCGGCGAGGCAGTCCTGGTGGTGGAGGGTACGGTCCTGCTGGTGCTGGAGCTGCTAGTCCTGGAAGTACTGCTGGTGCTGGAGGTACTGGAGGTACTGCTGGTGCTGGAGGTACTAGAGGTACTGCTGGTGCTGGAGGTGCTGCTAGTGCTGGAGGTACTAGAGGTGCTGCTGGTGCTGGAGGTGCCGGAGCTCCTAGTCCTAGAGGTGCTACTGGTGCTGCAGGTGCTGGACCTACTAGTCCTGGAGGTACTGCTGGTGCTAGAGGCGCTGGAGCTGGAGGTACTACTGGTGCTGGAGCTGCCGGAGCAGGTGGTACTGCTGGTGCTGGAGGTGCTGGAGGTGCTACATGAGCTGCTGGCACTGGAGGTGCTGGAGGTACTACTGGTGCTAGAGGTCCTCGCGCTGCCGGAGCTAGTGGTGCTGCTGGTGCTGGAGGTGCTGGGGGTGCTGCTGGAGCTGCTGGTGCTAAAGATGCTGGTGTTGCTGGTGCTGGAGGAGCTGGAGCTGCTGGTACTGCCCTGCGCAGACCGTTTTTCTACCCGCAGCCACAGTCGTCCCTGCCGCCGCCTGACTCGGTCCTTCGCCAGGTTCTTAGTCTCCCGTCTTCCACTGGCCTCCCTCTACCCCTCCTGTG